TTATTGTAATTTTTAATTACAATTTGATGCATATTATTTTAAATAAAATTTTCGTTTGGTATTAGTTGTGTACCCTGTGATGTAAGGATTTAAGATTTTATTGTAGAAATGAGAATAAAAAATAATTACAACTTTTTACTAAAAAATACTAAATTTACGTCTAATAAATGAAACAAATATTATAGTTAATGTTTAAATATATCTTGCTAATTAAAAAAAAAACTTAATATAGGTGTCAAACTAAAAATTAGAAATTTACCATTTTTAAGAATAATTGGTTTAATTCAAAGTTTTATAATAATTTACATTTAATATCTGAGGTTTAATTCACTTGCATCTAAATGTATTTATTTGTTGTTTATACATTAGGATAAATATTAATTAAGGTGGAGTTTGGTTTGTAAAATGTTTTTGGATGTAATAGAATTTGTTAGAGGAATTTGATTTCGAAGAAATTGGAATAAAATGTTGTCAGATTTGACACATGTTTGGTTGACATACATTAGAATGAAATCTGTTAAGAAATTAAAATTTGTTTGTTTGGTTCACGGGATATAGGTTCGAAATTTTAATGAAATATTGATAAAGGACCAAAATGCCCCTTTTTAATTTTTTTTTTAAACTAAAAGTACTTTAATAAAATAATTATTTGATATGTAAAACAATGTAAAATACATAACCCAATATAAACATAAGCCAAACAACGTTACCAAATTAATGGTGGTCGGTAGTGGTTCAGATCGATGGTGGTCTGCAGTGGCTCAAATGGAGGTGGTCAGTGGTGGTTCAGATAGGACGGTAGTTCAGATCAGCGGTGGCGGCAGTCATTCAGATAGGTGGTAGTCGTCGGTGGTTGACAGTGATTCAGATCGGTGGTGGTCCGTTGTGTCTCTAGTGGCAGTAATCGGATGTGGTTCAGATCGACAGTGGTTTTAATATGCATTGATTATTAAAGGCATAAAGTGCGTATTTCTTAACTTTTAGGTAGTTTATTTTCTTTTATCTAACATTAAGTCATTTTCATTACATTATTTTCTATTTGTTTATGCTTGGAGCTAAATTAAGTGATTAGTTTGTCTTTGCACCATTAGAGTAGCTAAATCTTAAAATTGAAAGCCTATTGTTCTGTGCTGCAACGTTCCAACAACATTGACTTGTTTAGAAATGGCTTTTTTGGGAAGAGTTTAAAAGATTTAGCTGCTGCTTTAGGAACAAGACGAAGTTTTGTTGATCTTGTGGTTAAAGACCTGAAAATCTGTGTAGAAAACTTTTTAAGGATGCTTTTGTACTTGATGTGATGCTACTTTTTTACTTTTACATTGTCTCTCTTTTGGGAACCATGACCTTTTCAACACTTTTTCCTTTTGCTTGGTATTTTTGTATAAATAGGACTTTTTGGTAGCTCATTTCATCATCCCTTTCATTAATTTCACATTTGTATCTCCTTTGCATATTCAAGTCGGTTCTTGAATTTCTATAAAAAGTTTTCTTTTATATGAGTTATTGCAACATTGTTCTTACTTTATTTACTTTTCTTGTTATTTAATTTTCGCTCTTTACATTTAGTCGTTTACTTTCAGCCATTTATATTTATGTATTTACTTTATGTTCTTTTATATTTCATGTCATTTATTTTTCTTAATGAGTAGCTAATTCTATTAGCTTGGGTGTAAGCTAAAAGGTGAAATGTTAAACCGAAGGAAAGTGGACATTGTTCCGTAATAACAAAGTTCCAATATTTCATTCAAGTTTTTATAAAAACCAATGACAATTCTTAACGAGTTGATCACTTTGAAAGTTTTAAAGTGTCATGGTCTTAGAGATGAGTCATTTGATGTACGTCAACTTGAATGAGACTTGTTATTTATATCTTTCAAACTAATTAATTCTCGACAGGTTGGTCGTTTGTTAAAAGTGTTAAAGTGCGGTAGGTTCAGAGATGAACTACCTAGAACACACGTCAACTTGAATGATATGAGAATCAACTCGAAAAGTGATTTTTAACAAAGCAATTTGTTTATCCATATACTTTGAAGAGATCATTTCGCCACTATCTCTGGTCCGGATACCACATAGAGATATGAGTTACAAGCTATAATATAGTGCAAGTGTGGAAGTCCGAGAGGAATACTTTCGTAATAGATGGTGGAACCAGGTATGGCTTACTGCATGCTGTTGCATTCCCACCGCATTGTCTGTTGAAATTTGTGTTTACATTTCACCACAAATTTTACACCCATGCTATCCTTTTAAATTATGTTATTTCATTATTGTTAACTCAGATCCAACTGAAGTCTTCAATTTCATCATCTGAAATCATTTCTTTTATTGGACTCTTATTAAGCCTTTGCTACAATCTTCGTGGACGATATCTGGTTTTTACCACTTTATTACTTGGAAAAGACGACACTGAACCTATTGTATACTTGCTTTGTGGTTCCTTTTATAAGTTTAAGGATGTGAAAAATAACCTACCAGGTTCAGATCGGGGGTGGTTCAAACCGACAATGGATCAGATCGGTGGTTGTTCAGATTGGTGATGGTCGACGGTGGTTCAGATCGGCGGTAGCCGGCGGTGATTCAGATCGATAGTAGTTGGTGGTAGTTCAGATTGATGGTGGTTCGTGGTAGTTCAGATGGCGATGATCGAAAATGTTTCAGATCGGTGATGGTCCATGGTGGTTCAGATGACGGTGATTGATGGTGATCGAAGGTGGTTGACGATGGTCATATTGGGTTTTATGAAATTAGGGTATATTGGGTTAAGGGCATATTTGGTATTATGAAAATAGAGAATTTCATTTCATCAAAATACCATGTAGTTGCTAAGGAATGTTAAATTCATATATTTGTGAAATTTGTAGGATTTTTAAGATTCCTTTAGTGAAAAAAAATCAAACGAGAGAATAAAATTTGATCAATAGAATTCAACATTCCAATTCCACCAGATTTCTTCAAAATCTGCGAACCAAACGCCGCCTAAGAGTATTGAATACTTACGGAATTAACTGTTTTTAAGATATTTTAACAAATTTTAAATACATTAAATGAAATAATTTTTATTGTAAATTACAAACAACTATCCAGTACAA